TTTTCATGGATGTCCGTTAAGACCTTAGTTATGGAGCCAGTTGGCCCTGACGGCCAAAACGTCCCATTTTCAAGGTCAAACAAACCCCGGAGCATGTAAACCCCACATTTTGCAGATTTTCGTGTGCTATAGACCATGGATTTTTTGCAGATCCAAAAATTTGATCTATTTTTTGTCGAAATTTTTCGTATACATCCATTAAGACTTTATCAATGGTGCCAGTTGGCCCTCAAGGCCAAAACAGGCCATTTTCAAGATCAAACGAGCCCCGGAGAAGGTACACCCCCTATTTTACCGATTTTCATGTGCTATAGTTCACCATATTTTTTGGTGATCCAAAATTTCGATCTTGTTTTTGCCAAAATTTATATGGACGTTCGTTAAGACCTTAGCTATGGAGCCAGTTGGCCCTCACGGCCAAAACGGCTCATTTTCAAGGTCAAACGAACCCCAGAATAGGTAAACCACTCATTTTGCTGGTTTTCGTGTGCTATAGTTCAAGGATGCTTTGGTAATCCAAAATTCCAAACTCATTTTTGCCGAAATTTTACATGGACGTCCGTTAAGACCTTAGCTATGGATCCAGTTGGCCCTCACGGCTAAAACGGCCCATTTTCAAGGTCAAACGATCCCCGGAAAAGGTAAACCCTCCATTTTGCCAATTTTCGTGTGCTATAGTCCATGCATTTTTTGGTGATCCAGAATTCTGACCTTAATTTTGCCAAAAATTTTCATGGACGTTCGTTAAGACCTTAGCTATGGAGCCAGTTGGCCCTAACGGCCAAAACCCCCCATTTTGCTAATTTTCATGTGCTATAGTCCACGATATTTTATGGTGACCCTGAATTCCGATGTCATTTATTCAAAAAAATTATATGGATCTCTGTTAAGACCTTAGCTATGGATCCAGTTTGTCACCACGGCCAAAACGACCCATTTACAAGGTTAAACGAGCCCCAGAGCAGGTAAACCCCCCTTTTTGCTGATTTTCGTGTGTTATAGTCCACGTGATTTTATGGTGACCAGGAATTCCAACGTCATTTTTGCCAAAAAATTTACATGGACCTCCGTTAAAACATAGCGATGGAGCCAGTTAGTGCCAAAACGGACCATTCAAAAGATCAAACGAGCCCCGGAGCAGGTAAGCCCCATTTTGCTAATTTTCGTATGCTATACTCCACGGGATGTTATGGTGACCCAGAATTCCAACGTCATTTTCCATAAAAATTTACATGGACCTCCATTAAGACCTTAGCTATGGAGCCAGTTGGTCACCACGGCAAAAATGGCCCATTTACTAGGTCAAACGAGCCCCGGAGCAGGTAAACCCCCCATTTTGCCTATTTTCGTGTGCTATAGTCCACAAGATTTTATGGAGACCCAGAATTTCGATGTCATTTTTGCCAAAAAAATTATATGGACCTCCGTTAAAACCCTAGTTATGGAACCAGTTGGTCACCATGGCGAAAACGGTCATTTTTCAAGGTCAAACAATCCCCGAAGCAGATAAAACCCTCATTTTACTTATTTTCGTGTGTTATAGTCCACGAGATTTTATGGTGACTTTTAATTCTGAAGTCGTTTTATAAAAAAATTTACATGGACCTCCGTTAACACCTTAGGTATGGAGCCAGTTGGTCACCACGGCTAAAACGGTCCATTTACAAGGTCAAACGATCCTCGGAGCAGGTAAACCCTCCATTTTGCTGATTTTCGTGTGTTATAGTCCATAGGATTTTTTGGTGACCTAAAATTCGGACGTCATTTTTGCCAAAAATTTACATTGACCTCCGTTAAGACTATAGCTATGGAGTCAGTTGGTCACCACGGCCAAATCAGCCCATTTACAAGGTCAAACGAGCCTCGGAGCAGGTAAACCCCCAATTTGCCAATTTTCGTGTGCTATAGTCCACAAGATTTTATGGTGACCCAAAATTTCGACGTCATTTTTGCCAATAATTTACATGGACCTTCGTTAAGACCTTAGATATGGAGCCAGTTGGTCACCACGGCTAAAACGGACCATTTACAAGGTCAAACACCCCCGGAGCAGGTAAACCCCCCATTTTGCCAATTTTCGTGAGCGATAGTCCACGGGATTTTATGATGACCCAAAATTTCGACGTCATTTTTGCCAAAAATTGAAAGGACCTCCGTTAAGACCTTAGCTATGAAGCCAGTTGGTCACCACGACCAAAACGGCCCATTTACAAGGTCGAACGAACCCTGGAGCAAGTGAACCCCTCATTTTGCCAATTTTCATGTTCTATTGTCCACGGTATTTAATGCTGACTCGGAAATCCGACGTCATTTTTTATAAATATTTACATGGACCTCCGTTAAGACCTTAACTATGGAGCTAGTTGGTCACCACGGCCAAAACGGCCCATTTACAAGGTCAAACAATCCCCGGAGCAGGTAAACCCTTATTTTTTTAATTTTTGTGTGCTATAGTCCACGAGATTTTATGGTGTCCCAGAATTATGACGTCATTTTTTCCAAAAATTTACATGGACCTCCGCTAAGACCTTAGTTATAGATCCACTTGGTAACCACGGCCAAAACATCCCATTTACAAGGTCAAACGAGCCCCGAAGCAGGTAATCCCCCCATTTTACTAATGTTCGTGTGCTATAGTCCACAAAATTTTATGGTGACCCAGAATTGCAACGTCATTTTTGCCAAAAATTTACATGGACCTCCATTATGACCTTAGCTATGGAACCAATTGGTCACCACGGCCAAAATGGCCCATTTACAAGGCCAAACAAGCTCTGAAGCAGGTAAATCCCCCATTTTGCCGATTTTGTGTGCTATAGTCTACGTGATTTTTATGGTGACCCGGAATTCCGTTGTCATTTTTGCCAAAAATTTACATGGACCTCCGTTAAGGCCTTACCTACCAAGCCACTTAGTCACCATGGCAAAAACAGCCCATTTACAAGGTCAAATGAGCCTCGGAGCAGGTAAACCCCCCATTTTGCCGATTTTCGTGTGCTATAGTCCATGAGATTTTATGGTGACCCAGAATTTCGACGTTAGTTTTGCCAAATATTTACATGGACCTCTGTTAAGACCTTAGCTATGGAGCCAGTTGGTCACCACGGCAAAAACGACCCATTTTCAAGGTCAAACGAGCCCCGGAGCAGGTAAACCCCCCATTTTTCCAATTTTCGTGTACTATAGTCCACGAGATTTTTTGTTGACCCAAAATTTCGACATCATTTTTGCCAAAAAATTACATGGACCTCTGTTGAGACCTTAGTTATGGAGCCAGTTGATCACCACGGCCAAAATGGCCCATTTACAAGGTCAAACAAGCCCCGGAGTAAGTAAACCCCCTATTTTGCTGATTTTCGTATGTATAGTCCACGAGATTTCATGGTGACCCGGAATACCAACGTCATTTTTGCCAAAAAATATAAAATTAACATAAAAAAATTCACCAATAAATATAGTAACCTTTAATCTAACAATTTAGTAAATTTTAATTTTTAAAATGTGATGTAAAAAATAATAAACCGTAAAAATAAATTAAAAAATGAATAAAAGTCGAAAAAAATAAAAATGCTCGAAAACACTTCCAAACATGTGAAACTAATGATAGAGTACATGTTTGTACAAATAAAAGATATTTCACATCCTACGTCGGCTAATCGATGTGTGCAGGCCACAGACGATATGGCCAGGCCACGTCCAACGTCGGCTAACCGATGTGTGCATCCCACGGACGATGCTGGCAAACCACGTCCGACGTCGGCTGACCGATGTGTGCAGGCCACAGAGATGCTGACAAGCCACGTCCGATGTCGACTGACAGTTGTGTGTAGGGCACGGATGATGCGGGCAGGCCACATCCGATGTCGGTTGACCGATGGAGCAGGCCACGGATAATGTGGGTAGGCCACGTCCGACGTCGGTTGGCGGATGTGCACAGAACACGGCCGATGTGGCCAGTCCACTGCTTATGTCACCTGACCGATGCGCATGCCATGACTTATGTCGCCTGGCTGATGCGCGCAAGCCACGACCGATGTGTGCATGCCACGGCCTATGTCGACTAGCTGATACGTGTATGCCACGGCCTATGTTGCCTGGCTGATGCGCGTAGGCAATGGCCATTGACGTCTGGTCGATGCGTGCAGGCCACGGCCAATGTCACCCAGTCAATGCGCACAGGTCACGTCTAATGTGTGCAGGCGTTGGTTAATGCTACCTGTCATTGGCCAACGTCAGTCGGCCGATGCGCACATGCCACATTCGATGCGTGTAGGTCTTCGCTGATGTTGTCTGCCATTCCCCAATCGGCAGACTAGCTTGTCACCGTTCCACATCTGATCGGGGCGCAACGTTGGCCCCCATCTTCTTCCCTCCCGACAATTTCAAGCACTCTTTGACTCTCTTTTCAAAGTCCTTTTCATCTTTCCCTCGCGGTACTTGTTCGCTATCGGTCTCTCGCTCGTATTTAGCCTTGGACAGAATTCATCACTCGATTTGGGCTGCATTCCCAAACAACCCGACTCGTAGACAACGCCTCGTGGTGCGACAGGGTCCGGACACAACGGGGCTCTCACCCTCTTTGGTGCTCCCTAACAGGGGACTTGGGCCCGATCCGCCGCTGAGGACGCTTCTCCATACTACAATTTGGACAACGGAGTTGCCCGATTATAAGGTTGGATTGTTCCCGGTTCACTCGCCATTACTAAGGGAATCATTATAAGTTTCTTTTCCTCCGCTTATTGATATGCTTAAACTCAACGGTAATCTCGCATGACCTGGGGTCGGAGTGTCATTCTTAGTCGGCGCAGTTAGGGTCTGGGACTCCGGACGCACGATGGGCTGTAGCCGCGACAACAAGAGAGAGTTGAGTTTCAACCACCACCTGTCGCGACGTCAGTCGATGTGGACTCGCATTTAGGCCAACCACGCGCTCGGGGTGCACGGGAGCCAGCTTCCGCCCCGCGCGATGCATTGCGGTGTGCAGGGGGCGACGCGATGTGTGACGCCTAGGCAGACGTCCCCTCGACCCAATGGCTTCGGGTGCAACTTGCGATCAAAGACTCAATGGTTCACGAAATTCTTCAATTCACACCAAGTATCGCATTTTGCTATGTTCTTCATCGATGCGAGAGCTGAGATATTCATTGTCGAGAGTCGTTTGTGTTTAAATAGCAGCACACGTCCCCCCGCACACTCTGCGAATGGGGCGCAAGGGGAGGGCTGTCAATTTTAGTATTCCCTGGCGCTTTCCATGCCAGGGTTCGTTGGTCGCCCTACGAGCGTACGAGCGCGCCCGCCGGGGACGGGAGGGAGGTGCACGACGAGCGCGCGTCTCCCCCAAGTGTTTAAAATGTGTTTGCGAGTCGTTCTTCTTTGTAGGTTTTGACAATGATATTTCCGCAGGTTCACCTACAGAAACCTTATTACGACTTCTCCTTCCTCTAAATGATTAGGTTCAATTGACTTCTCGTGACATCGCGGGTAGAGAACCGCCCATATCGCCGCGATCCAAACATTTCACCGAATTATTCAATCGGTAGGAGCGACGGGCAGTGTGTACTAGGAATTCCTCATTGAAGACCAACAGTGTTGAGCCTATGTCGCCTGGCGGATGGGCGCAGGCCTCGGCCGACGCCTGGTATTAAAATGGACTTCATTTATGTATTAAAATGGTATTTCCAACTCCAAAATGGATTGAGTTCATATGCCTACTGTCTAAGAGATGAGAATGGAGACATTATATTTGCAAAAGGTGCCAGGATTGAAAATACAACAAGTACTATGGCAGAAGCAGTTGCAATTTTAGAAGCCAGCAAACATTGCAAGAACTCTCAATATAATCAGGTCATTATTCAAACTGATTCTATGTTAATGTGCAAAGTGCTAAAAGGAAAATGGGTCACCCCATGGGCACTTTCAGATATTGTGGAAGAAATCAAAACATGCTTACAAGATAAACAATATACATTTCAACACATTTTGAGAGAGGGAAATCAACTTGCTGACTACATAGCAAACAAAGCAATAGAACAGGGACCTGCAGATATGAAGATTTCAATAGCTTTGAATCACACGGAAAGAGAATCTTAAATAGTGATAAAAGTCAAAGCCCATATTTAAGGATATCTTCCTTAAGGAGATAATGGGGAAGGGGAGGCTACGACAAAAGATGTGAAATACTAAATATACATGGCTATCTCAGTCAACAATAAGGACTCGGCAATTTGGGGGTACAAGGTTCAGGCGAGTGAACCTGGAGGAAACGCTTATTAACCATTTGGAAGTGACGGAAGGCAGTTACCAAGACACCCCAGGCGAGCATCACCTGGAGAAATGAAGTGAACCAAGTTAGTAAAGCACAAGGCAACAAAGGAGTTTAATGAGGTGAAAATACCTAGTGAATAAGTCATCCAAATGGCTTTAACGGATCACTAGAAGAATGCAACTCATTGTACCGAAGAACTCAGCTATGAACAAAAATGTCAGAAGCAAAAACAAAGGGAAATGGAGCAGAGCTGAAAAGGACACACTTACTAAGCTGAAATCCAAATCCAACTTTGCAAGAATCCCACAACATAATGTTAAATGATCCACAGCAACAGGAGACGGAATCCTTTGATCATCCAAAGACGAAACATAGCAAAAATGGAAAGGGTTGAAAGGAAAGAAGAGTGGAGGTGGATTGTTTTAGGAAACCCTATATTTGAGGGATGTGTTTAAAGGATGGGAATCTGATGGGCTGGATTCCTATGCCCTTATTTTGCTTTTGTTGTTTCATTAGTGGATTTGGGTAATAGGCCCAAATTTGCTTTGTTTCTCTTGTAGTTACTTTGCTATTTAATAAAAGGCTTTGCCATATTTTGATTTTTAAAAAATAAAAAGTTTAATCAAAACTTTTTCACATACCTATTTAAGGAACAAAAATCTTATGCAAAATTAGGGGAAATTGAAAATTTTTGGGATAAATGTTGTTTATCAGAAAATTGATTATCTAGCATTAAAATTGACATTCACATATGCATTATCAAAGTATTTCGAACTCAAAAATCAATTTTCTTTTATCAGATTCTTAGCAATAAAGAATTACAATTTTCTTCAAAATTGGGGGAAATTCAAAATTGAATGGGTTAAAAGACGTTTTTCAAAAAATTGGCTCGGTTAAACCTTCTGGTCTCATAGATCTCGAAAAAATACCCAAATTCAAAAAAAAATCGCCTGAAAAGGACATCAGAGGCCAAAGTTATGACCGTTTGAAGTTTCACCAATTTACAACTACATTTTCAAGTTTCAATTTCTAATTTGGTGAAACTATAAACGATTGTAACTTTTGCCTCGGATATCCGTTTGATGCAAAAAAAATTTATCATGGGTATTTTTCAAGATCTATTCGGTCAACTCCTTAATTTATTTTGCTCTTTTATCTTATTATATTTTTATTTATATAGAATAATAGTCACACAAGGTATTTAAGTAATTTTTTGTTCTAATATTATAGGCAAAAGGGTGTGGTGGACCCTTATACTTGTATATGTTTGTATTGTGAACCCTTCTACTTAATCATTTGTCAATTGAACTTTTAAACTCAATAAAAATGAGCCTTTTAAACCCTTCCAACCATGTGTGTAGCTCACTTTCCTTTACATAAATGACATGTCATATCCACATCAGATATATTAATGTCATGTCATAATTTTTTTTAAATTATTTATCAAAATTGTTTAATTAAAGGTAAAATAATAAAAATTTAATTATATTTTTTAAAGTAAAACCATTACATTTTCTCCAATTCCCACTGTTTCATGCCCAAGCCGTCGCCGTCGTCGCCATTTTTGCCGGCGAAACCACGCATATTTTTTCTGCCTTCATCTCCGTCGCACATTATCACCATTTTCCTTTCCTCCTCCAACCTCCACAAAACCAACAACCTAAGTAGGGGTGGGCGTTCGGTTCTTCGGTTCGGTTCGGTTTTTTCTACTTCGATTCGGTTTAGTTCGGTGTTTTAAAATTGGTTTTTCGGTGTTAACAAAAATAAAGAGAGAATATGATAAAGTAACAATTGTCATTCACTTCACACTTCAAACTTCAAAGTAACAACTAACCGTCTAACAATAAAAGGTAAGAACATCAATTTGTTGTTCTCACTTCAAAGTAACAACATAAAATGATAAAAAAGGTAGAAAGTAGAAACACCAAGTTGTTGCTCAAACTTGAATTAAATTTAGTTTTGTTTAGTTTAGACATTAGGTCTTTAGGGTTTACTATTTTGTTATTAAGATTTTTGCTATTTAAGTTTAGGATCTAAATATAAAAATTGAAATGGGCCAAGTAATGTTAAAAATTAAGTAATATAATAAATACTTTTAAATTTATTTAATAAAACTTCGGTTCTTCGGTGCACCATAATTTCGGGACCCTTACACCGAACTCCGAACCGAAGTTCCGAAAAAAAAAACTGACACCGAACTGAAACACCGAAGAACCGAATTTTTTCGATTCGGTTCAATTTTTCGGTTTTTCGGTATTTATGCCCACCCCTAAACCTAAGCCACCGCACCTGATCTAGCCGAACACCATCACCATTTTCACCTTCATCTCCACCGCACACCATCACCATTTTCGCCACCATGGTTAGATCCTCACACCCTCACCAGCCTCGCTCTCCTCTTCGCTGACCAGCCGCACCTCTCTCTCTCTCTCCCTCCACTGCGTATCAGTGGTGTCCGGCGAGCACCACCAGTGCCGCTCTCTCCCTTCGTCGGTGAATTAGTGGACTCAAGGAGATGCTCAAGATCATCTAGATGAAAATAGATTGTGGAAAAGAAAGAAAAGGGGTTGGGCAGGGGATGGATATGGCTAAAGAGGAGATGGATGAAGGAGAAGGATTTTTTTAATTAATGGTTTAAAAATTATTTTTTTATAATTTTTAATATTTTTTTAAGTAAAAATGTTCCTCACTCGCCTTAATAGGCGTGTAGTTACACGCTTTTGCCAACTCAGACATCTAATGCCACATAATGGTCAAAGGGGTTTGTTAAATTGTGTTTTATTGAGTTCAAGGATTCAATTGACAAACGGATAAATAGAAGAATTCACAATACAAACTCATACAAGAACAAAGGTCCACCAGACCATTTTGCCAATATTATATATAGTGTTGACACTCAATTTTGACTCTCCACTATTTAATTAATGTTCAAACTTCCTCAATTTCAAATTTCATAAATCTAAAATACTTAAATTATTTTCAAGGCATCTTTTGTCATTTTTCATATAGATTATATCTCTTCATACTTGAAAAAAAAAAAAAAAATATATATATATATATATAACTTTCAATTTGAACAAATATTTAAATGTCGTTTTTACTAAAAATAGAGTTTTAATTAAATATGCATTTTATTTCCATTAGAATTGATTAATTCACAATTTAATGTTAACTCTCTTTTGGTCATTCATTATTATTAACAATTGGGAGAACCCCTTGTACAAACAACATAACAAAAAAGAGAAACCAACATCAAAAAATAAGTTCTAATCACAATCCAACCCTACCTTGTTCCCAAACAACAGCCTTGCAACTCTGCACCCGAAAGGGTAGAGAAATGAAAAATGGCGCAATCAATCTCTTTATTTTAGCCAACATGTCAAAATATGGTACAACGGGACCATGCAACATTCAGAATTCATCTTACAATGCATCTAAAGTTTGTTAACCTACCACTAGGATATATTATACACAATTCCTTATTCAGATAGTGGATTGCTTTGCAGTTGTGCTATATATATGCTAGAGCTCCAGTTGCTTCCTCAATTACCAGTCTTCATAGATCACTCTTATTGAATAATAAGGTCTAGCATTCATCAAATCTTATTTTCCCCTCAACATCCAAATTCTAGATATATCTCATGGTGGAGAAGCTTTCTAGAGTCGCTGGATGGCCAAGCCTGCAGAAATTGAAAAAATTGATCAATATTATACGTAAAGCCGTGATGATTGGTGACAAGAACTTCCAATTGTTCCTTACCCCCAGATTTTCTGAACGTATACTCTTGTCTCTGATATAAATGCATTAGCAATGCAGATCATGGGTCAACAAATGAAGGAAATACAGCCTTGCCTAGATAAACCTGTTGCATCTCCTCCCTCCATATCTAGGAACAATGAAGTTTTATAGGTTAAATACAGGGTTTTAACTGTTTAAAAAACTAAAGATTCATGTCAATAGAGAGTATCTTAAAACCCAAATATCAAATAAATAGAAACATCGCAGTATGAAAATTTTGTTTTACAATTTTCAACTGAAAAAAGAATAACAAGAACAAAGATCAGTACTTTTCTGCCAACACCATAAGATGCAAATTCTAGTTGAGGAGACTCACAATCTTCAAGCTGCTTCTAGAGAATAAATAATTCGCTCATCCAATAAGGTGCAATGAACATTAGAAAGGAGTTTTTACAGGTAGAATTCCAATACAATTCTCCACTTAGAGGATCTAAATTGAGGAACTTTATATACTACAGAAATAAGCACTTACCATATCGCGGAATTCAAGCCTGATATGAGGCACATTTGTCCTATGAATATCATTTCCATCTGGTCCTCTCTTGTAATACTCCTTCCCAATCCAGTGGGACTAAGCATAGAAGTGGAATATGTCAGGAAAAAACACATACACAAGCATCAAAATTCCCAACCGGGGGATTAGCACACACCAGCAATTTAGGTTAAGATGAGCAATAGAAGGAAAACAAGTAAAATATGCAGAAAGTGTCACCGATTCCAAAAGCCAGAGAATCAACACCCAAACCCAAAAAGGAAACATGGAAAACCAGAACATGATTGCAATCAAACAATTACAAGTTCACTACTGAACCTCAATATTCCATGTACTCATCCTAACAACAAGAAACAGTAAATGAGTACAGTGACAACGAATAAAAGGGTGCCCCTAATGGAATGTTTTTTTTTTCTTTTGAGAAAGGTAACATGAAGGCGACCCCTAATGGAACTCTCTACTAGCAATATGGTTTACATAAAAACAGACATATGAGATTTCAGTTAGATGCATTGCACTTCGAGGCATCCATG